ACAAATTTTAATTCTATTATTTCTACCTTAAAACAAATATAAATGAAACAGATTCTATTCATGGTACAAATTCATAACTAAAAAACATTCAAGATTTTGAATTGATTTTCTACTTAAAATAAATGAAACAAGTTCTTCGACTAACTAATAATTACTCAACTGTTAGAATTTTATTAAATTCTTCTTTATTGGAACTAGAATCACTTCGAAATTATAATAGTTTTAAACTTTTTTAGACTAAAACTGAACAATTTGCTACCAAAGAGGACATATGGTAGCGTGGGTAGAGAAGGAGAGGGGAATTTGCTCCCACCCCCTGCGTTTCATGCTAAATTCTATTTCTTATACCAAACGTATAAGTTTTACTATAAAATCGAAAAATCGAAAAAAAAGGTTATCGACTGCCCCTCTCCGATTAAAATCCTAGCTACGCTCATGAAAAAAGACATTATAGAATGCCTGCAGATATTCCTTAAAAAAGAAATTTTAACATATTATATCAATATAATATGTAATTAAAAGTAACATAAGATTTTGCTAGACTATAGTTAATATAATGATATGTAACTATATATTTTCTCCTCTAATAAATTTCCACGTTATGCTCATCTCCTTCCAATGGCGAGTATTAACTAATAATTAAAAATTAAAAATTTTATCGATTTTATTTTATTACATTTATCTATCTTGACATTATATATTCAAATACTGAAAAAAAAAGATTAAGTTTTCTCAAGTTAAAATATGGTATTAAGTACATTTATGGTAAACTAGTGAAATGAATATTCATTCATATTCTGTTTTTTAGAACGGATAGAAAAATAATTTGAATAGCCCAAGTATCTATATAATGAAGATACCTACCAAAATTACTTTTAGAAAAAAAAAAACGTGAAAATATACTTACTTTATTATGCACTTTATGTTCAATTCTGTAATATTTTGCGATTTTAGTGATTGCTGTTGACCAGAAAAAATAGAAATAGCCAAACACGTATTGCTTTATTAATGGTTTATGCGACAAAATCTAGGAATTCAGTTACAACAAATCAAATCCAAGGCCATAAACCACTTTAATAATTAATAAGCTGTATGGAAGGTGGTGTTAGAAGATTGTAATGACTTTATAAAGTTGAGCGTTTTTTAGTTATATTTAGTAAACAATTTTACAATTTCACAAATCATAAAATATAACATACCTATTAGTTATTTTATTAAACTGGACAACACTAACAAGCAATTTCAATATTTTTTTATATACCTACATATTTTGGATTGTACCTACCTACTCGTTTTTCATCCAATGTCGATGCCAATGTTAGGTTCTTACATGGCTACACTATATTTCTATATATATATTTTAAAATATCGAATATTAATCTATTTAAATAATCAATTTATATTTAAGTTGTATGATGTATAAACTTCGTTCTCATTCAATTATTTAGATTTGTATTAAAATACATTTTTGATTTATTTTTCTTCCAAGATTTTTTCATAAAAAAAAAAAAAAATAGCCGAGACGGCCCATGGATCGCAACTTGATTTGTTATAGATTACCTCAACTCTCAAGTCTTGAAAAAAATTGTCTCTATTCTCAGAGATAAATAAGTGCTTTAAACGTACCAAGCCATTATGTTACAGATAGTGTAATAGCATAAGATAAATAAAATAAAAAGTAAAAATAATATCGTCGTTACCTACACTTGCTAATTTCATGCGAAAATGCAGTGTGTGACGCGCAGCAATCAAAATATTTTATCGTTTCTGTTCTGACTTTGTGTTAGTTCGATACCTGAACCTCGTGAAGTTGTGAGTTGCGGCGAATATAAATAGGATTCATGTAATCGTGTTATAGGTCAACAGCGATAACAGTTCGTCGTGATTCTTGACAGTTGTCGGTAGTAGAATGAGAAATGATGTCTGATGTCTTACAACTTACAAGACAATAAACCAAAAAGTAATAATATTATTTTACAATAATAATTGTAAATACATTACGGCATAGCAATCATAGAATACAGGTTTAAGATCTGAATAACATTGAATGAATTGAGTTTTGCAAATACTTTTGGATTGTCGGAGTTGAATCCGCCAATATTGTTAGGTTATTCGAGTTGAGACTCTTTCATCTCTTTCTTTAATTGTAATAAGTATAAAGAGTGAATTAATTAAAAAATATTAAAAATAGTAATAAATAAAGGTAGGTACGTTTTACCTAGTGAATAATTTTTTATCGAAAGTTATGAAAAATACTAAAAAAAAAATTGAAAATTTATCATACCTACAAATATTTCAAAAAGTGTTAACATTTGTTGAACATTTTATGATGATATAGGTATTGAAAATATTAATTTGGAAATTTCAAGTACTTACTTATCTAATTATTTTTGGAAATATACAAAACATTAAAAATTGTTTAAAGAGAAATAATTATTTTACGGGTTAATATCTAAACATACACTCCATTTTTCACTCGTAATAATTTGATAATTAAGTATTAATTAATTGTGTGTTACCGGCTATATTGGTAATAATGACATCTGATCTGAACAGACTCAATTCAAAGTCATTAAGATAATGAGATGGACTCAATACAATATAACTGGAAGTTCTTGATGTGTTTTTGATAAATACACATCATTACAGAATACGGATATATCGGATAGCTCTACGCGTTGACAGACGACAGTACAATATTTGATGATATAGTTTATAAATCATTTATTTCTTATAGATTACTTATTTCTAGCTTCGGTTAGACGTGTACTTTTTATTTTGTTTCTTTAATAACATGAAAATTAACAACGTTTCAAATATTTTAAATTGTTTAATGTTTATAATAAAAAATATTTGATGATTTTTTTAGGGCATTTGTAGCCCTTGTTTAAGTAAATAGTAATAAGTAATAACACTATTTGGTATTAGTTAATTATAAAATTTAACGAAGTATGAATACGCATAGAAATGACGTATTAAATGGTCGTTCGTCAAACTAAAACAATGAGAGTACTTATAGTCTATTCGAAATGAGATCGTATCTCGGCGGCGACCAGTTTTCGTTCGCGACGGTCAGATGCCACCACGAAAGATCGTAAGGCTAGCGCTGTGGAACAAAGCCACGCGCATGCGCAGAAATCGGCCACCGAGGTATGATCTCATTCCGAATAGACTATAGGTAGGTACTAATAGTTAATCCATTATATTTTCCGTCAACAGTCAACTTGTATAGCTTGTAATATTTGGGCTAAATACAGATCGGTAATTAGTAGTAAATTCTCAATGCAATGCTACTTGATAAAATGAATACGAAAACTTGCAAATTTTGAAGAATCATAAATTTGAACCTATTTCATATACTAATAGCCAATAGGCAAGTATGCAATACCATGTACACTAATTTAGCTAACTAACCTGTTGACATCAAAATTGTATCTTACAAATGTTGACCCTCCTGCTCTCCTAAAATGTTGCACTTATTCTATTATTTTCAACGTTAATAATAGTATAGATGACACAAATTGAAAATTTCCACACTATTGAAATGTGAATTAGCAGTTTCAATAATAAACTCCAATTTGTTGAATAAATCAGATTATAAAAATTAAGTCCCTAATCTTGAAAATGTTTTAACTATACATACATATTTTATAAGATTAACTAGTTGCATATTGTAAAGGCATCATACTAAAATTAACGTTTTTGTTAAGAGCTAGGTATTTATTATTTGAAATTAATATTTAAATTATTAAAAATAATATCAGTCAATCAAGTAATTTTTTAATAACAAATTGTTATTTGCAATGAACAAATTATTATCAACTTTTTTTCCAATATTATTGTAAATTAAATAATTACTTGAGAATTATGCTCAAATATACCTAAACAGATAACAGAAATATCATGCTCCAATTAAAAATGCATTAAATGAAATATTAAGAACTTCACCAATAAAACTATTTTTTTACTAGTTCATCCAATTTTTACTTAATTATTAGCATTTCACTATTTTAATACTTAAAAAAAAAAAAATATTAGAACAAAATATTGTAATTTATAAACAGTACTCATCTAGGTACTAATCAATTTGTTTTATCATGAAAAATTACAGTGCCTATCTTAAAATGAACACTTTTTAATATTTTTATTAAGAACTAAAATAATCAGTAAATACATTTTGAAAAATAAATATTTTAATCAAAAGGACGTCCAACATGCTGATTGGTTGCATTTGAATTCGAAATTACAGAGTAAATAATGTACAAAGAGTAAGCAACTAAAATATTATCTCGAGGATTAAAACATAGATATATACATATATTAATCTATACAACATATATTTTGTTTATTTTATTATGAAAAACAAAAGCTTAGAAGTGGCATTTAATATATAAAGCCACAATAAACATTGATTGTAACAAAAACATACTCTCAGTGAATTAGGAAAAATGTTAATAAAATTATTTAAATGTTAAAGAAATTCCTGTTAATTACCCGTGAACATTTGGTATTATTACTTTTTAAATATAAAAACTACTTATAAAATACATGAGAAATAATTTAAACATTTTAAATCTAAAAATTAAAATTAAATAAACACTATTGACCAAATGAAAAAAAGGGATATTTTTATTTTTTATTTAATTTATTGTTATAATCATAGCTATCTATTTACATTATCAATTTTGTAATATATATATGTGTATATGTATATATATATATTTGTAAAATATATATATATTATATCATTTTTAATGTAACAAGGCAACAAACACAATGTATTATATAAATAAATTACATAGAAGAGCAGGAGCTGATTGGCTAGTATTTTCAAATTATTATCACTGCGGAATTTAAAAATAATAAGAGAATATTAATAATTTCCGTCAGTTTAGTTTTTCATTATTGATTGTGGTGGGTAGGAATATGTACAACAAATACATTTCTTGCACAGTTGCAACACGAAGAATATTACTGTTCTATACACAAAAGACCTAAACATTAAATAATAACCTTTTTTTTTAATAGAAATAATACAAGTAAAAAATAAAAAACAAAATTGTTTTTGAGTGTGATATTCCTGAGAAAAAGGTGTTGATTTTTTTTTAAGTTTTTTTTTTTCCATTAACTTTGTCCAAAGCAAAAAAGCAGCATTGTCACATCGAGGAACTCACTGTAGAACGCCAACAGCATTTGGAGAAGTTATTCCATTCCCACCTGCTAAAAAAAAATGTGGTTTTTATAACTAAAAAAAAGCAAAACACTCGTATACATAATAATACTAGTATATTTCTTAAAAAAAGGGTTTTAATAGATTTTATTAAATTTTAAATTTAATAGTTATGTTATCATTTTGTTAAACTAGTAATAAATTTGTCTGAAGTTCATTGATAATTATCAGAAATTCAAGAATTTTGATTATTAATCTATTTTTAAAAACTAATAGCATATTTAATTTATTAACCAAAGGAAATTTTAAGTACAAATAATATTTGAATATACTAATTACACAATATTTAAAACATTCTATTTATTATTTACTAGTTAAATATATAAAAATTGTCTAATAATTCTTATTTCAACTTATCATAACATCTATAAACAATTTCTTTAGGAAAATACTTTCATTTATTAATTAAAAGAAACAAAACATTAGATAAAGAAACATTTAAGAATTGCAAGTTTATACATTTGTTTAATAAAATACGAGTGACAATAATTTTTAAAAAATAAATAGATAAACATAACATTTATGTTATAAGATTTCAAAACAAAATATAATTTTTAATCAATATTCAAATATTTCAAATAATTATTTTGTATAAAATGCTTAAATCATATAAAATTCAACTTCAACTATTATTTTAAAAACTGTTTATTATATGAAATAAAAATGTAATATTTATTTGTGTAAAATAACAAAGGTATTAAAGAATAATACAACATACTTGAAGTACAGAACACCTTAATTTAATAATTAAATACAATTTATAAAAATATCACATTTTTCAAAATTATAACCAAATCTAAAGTAACTTACAATTTAAAATATACATTGTAAATAACTTATTTTAACAGTTTGAATATTAATTTGATACACCTAATAATCTAAAATTGATACATTTATAATAAAATATACATTTTGATGAGACTTCAAGTATTATTTTAATTTTAACTCATTTTTAGGGTATTAGGTATTGCATATTGAGGAAAGTTACGAAAATTAAAGTAAAAATTAATTATTATTTTAATAAAACACCATTCAGTGAATTTAAATGTTCAATTATTATTTGAATTAAATAAGATGTTTTATCAAGACTTAATTATACCGCAATTTTATTATAATTTACAAAATAGATAATTTATTTAATAAATACATGATCATAAATTATAGTAGTAATAGGTACAAATTGTAATTTAAAGTTTTAATGTAAAAAATATTGAACAATTTCATATTTAGTTAAGTTAAATGTATTTTACATGTTATCAATGGTAAATAGTTAAATTATAACAGTTAGAATAAATACTACATTTATTTTTAAATCATAATTATTAAGTACCTGTAATTGGTGTTGGAGATACAGACGATGTGGCCAAATTAATTCGAGACTGCTCTTTTACAACTGGATCTAAAACAAAAGCATAAATATTAAAATATAATTATTCATTACTCATTACATATTAATATATAATATAATGAATTCTATATGAATTTAGAGTGAATATAGATCTGCAGATTTATCATTTGACTCAAATCCTCTGTAAAGATTATTTCTCAATTGTTCAAAAGAGAAGTTATAATTTTATGAATATAAACTTTAAGTAAAATATCTTAAAAAACACTTTCTTATAATTCAGAAAATTAAAGAATGTCACAAAATGTTTACAAGATTGAGATATTGTATTGTTTTTGTTTAAAAAAAATTCAGTATTTTAAATTTTAAACAGATAATAATCAGAAGGCTTTGCTTACACTACAGATTAGTGATTTCTCAACATTTTTTTACACTATTTTTATGGGTATTTATTAATAAATACCTGAACATCCAAACACACTATAATATATATGAATGCTTTATACTTTTAATAACTTTAGATACTAAATTTCAGCTAACTGATATAGTAGTTAACTACTACTTACTATCTCAAACAATCAGCAAACTTTTATACATTTTGTAGAGGCCAACAATGATTAGTCCTTTTAAAAACTACCATTTTTTCAAATCCATAGGTGGTTTACACCTTTATCTCCCCCCTCCCCCCCAAAAAATGTATTAAATATATATACAGATATATAGATATTTATATATTTACAAAAATTCTTTAAGGTTTTGTAATACCAGTGTCTCTAATACTATTTACACCTATACCCAAACTCCCAGCAAATTTTCAGAATTATTACATGATTATTAATTACAATTAAATTTATATACACATGATTACTAACGTTTATTGTATTTTAATATTTTCAATTTACTTAACTTTATTTTAATTAATAATTTTAGCATTTGTCACCCCTTCTCCCAGAATTCACTACATATTTTTACATATCACAGAGATTGTAAGTAACAATGTCTTTAGTGCATAATTATATAATTAGAAAAAACTAAAAAAGCTTTTATCATTAATTGCCATTTATTCTACAATAGTTATAAATTCTTAACCAATATCAATAAAATAACGCTAGTTTTGATTTGCAAAAATATTCTATGCTCAAATTCTACTTCTGAAATTTTTTTTGACTATAATGAACGTATGTCATGATAACAAAATAATATATTTGGAAGTAGTTTTGTTTACACTACCACACAAATATTTAAAATTAAATAAACATTGATATATATATATATATATATATATATATATATATATGGGAGATAACGATTAAAAAAAAATCACAACTGTAAAAATGTATTACATGGGTATCATAATGTTTATGTACAAATTACACATATATATATATATATTTTAATTTGCAAACTCAACACTTTTTTACAATAAATTTAAACTATAAATTATGGAATATAATGTTAATTTTTTAGGTCTGCCACTTTTATCACAGAGCATAATTAAGTGGGGTTAAATAAGTTTTTATTCAACATTTTTTAATAATTTTAAAAATAATGAGTAGTTCATAAAAAAACATAACCCTAGCCTCTATACATAACTTGAAAAATATAGAATAAAATTCTATCATAAAAAAAAAAAAAATTAAGTTTTAAAAAAAGAGACTTATATTCAATATTTTAAGTGGAACAGGTCGTAGGAAGCTTACTAAATGAACAGCAGAAGAGTAGCAATTATAGAAAAACTTTAATATACCACTCCTTGTAATTAAAAGTGTGGATGTAAGGAATGATTGTTTTTTAATCATTTAAAAAACTACTTAATGAATAATTATTTAATTAAAATTAAGTTAATAATCTATTATACTTATTTTAAATAAGTCAGATTGAAAACTTTATACAAAATCACTATTCTAATTTAAATGAAGATACTTAACTCAATAAATTTCTTTAGAATTGTGTATCTCCAGATAATAAGAATTTCAAAATTTCATAGTTATCATCATTCTTATTTAAAAAATGTATAAATATATATATATATATATATGTATGTATTAAATGTATTAAAGTACTTACAAAAATATGGATGATCCATTGCTTCTCTAGCAGTCAACCGTTCAAAATGATCATAACGCAAAAGTTTATCTAAGAAATCTAAAGCTTCTGGTGTTACGAGGTGTTGATTTTCACTATGCACAAAACGCTCCCACCGTTTTCTTGAATGCCTAAAATACATAAAAATGCCCAGTTAATTAACTAAATAATTCTATTATTAAATAACTCAATTTAAAAATAACAATTTATCATAATTTAAATACCTTCCTAAAATATCAGAAAATCTTGGATCCAATTCAACATGATACTTGTCTAAATATTCAAATAGTTCTTCTGTTCCTAGAACCTTAGCAATACGCACGAGTTGATCGTAATTGTCATGTCCGTGAAAGAATGGCTCTTTTCTGAATATCATACTAGCTAACATACAGCCCAGTGACCACATGTCTAATGAGTAATCATACATCTAGAATAATAGATTAGAATTGTAACATAAGAATATAGCTATAAGATATTAAAAATAAATAAAAACATTTAAATATAAACCTGATAATCAGCGAGTAATTCTGGACCCTTGAAATATCTGGAGGCAACCCGGACATTGTATTCTTGACCAGGATGATAGAACTCTGCTAAACCCCAATCAATTAACCGCAATTTTCTATTTTCATGGTCGATCATAACATTGTGAGGCTTTACATCACGATGCATGATGCCCATACTATGGCAATAGTCCAATGCCTATAATAAAGATATTTCATTATTTTATTTTATTACGCTTATTGTAAAGATTATACATTTCTTTTGCTAAATTATGTTAAGATGTATTAAGATAATGGTCTTCGAGTATCAACTCAGCACATTAATAAGAATAAAATAAAATTGTTAAAAATATTATGTTATAAAATAAGTTTAACGATAAGTTTAAGTACCTTGAGCAACTCATAGAGATAAAATCTAATATCATAGTCATTCAGCGTCTGGTAGAGTTGTTTAAAGTCCATATTGTTAACATGCTCAAATATAAGAGCAGGTGTACGAGATACTGGGTCTTTTACCACTGCTTGCAGCGATATAATATTGGTACCACCCCTCAAATTTTCAAGAATTTTTATTTCTCTTTTGATTTTCTTTTTTTTTACGGGCTGAAAAAAATAACACATTTCATAATAATGATAACATAAAAAAAAATACAGTTCATTACAAAAAAAATTAATTACCTTTAATATTTTCACAACACATTTTTCACTATTAGTTACATCAATTGCTTCAAATACTTCACTGTATTTACCTCTACCAAGTTTCCGAACCAACTGATAGTCATCTTGTTGCCTGAAACAATAAAAATTAATATTATTTTTAAAATTCAGAGGCATTAATAAATATTTAAGACTTTCAGTGAATTAAAAACTATAAACTGAAATAGTTACATTTAAAAATGAAAATTTATAATTAATTATGACTTACTTCAATCAGATATTGATAAAATTATGAAAGTAACAATACAATAAAAAAATGTTCTGTGCTTTTGTTAAAATTCAACCATTAACAAAAATACTATTAATTAAATATTGATGTTCTTTTTCATAAAGAAATATATTTTTTTATAGGTCTCTAAATTGTTATAGAATATTTTAATTTACTGCTATTAACATATAACTAATAAATATCACGTTAATGTATACAATTTTAATTTGAGATACTAACAAATTAAGTATAATAAAGTAAATAATATTAACATGGATATAGATGATACAATCAATTTTTTCAATTAGAGTACTATATTTATGATTACATTAAACATAAGTAAACAGTATAGAATATAGATGTACTTAAGTTATTTTTATATTATAAATATATTAAATAAGTAAAGTGTACTTATTTGAATTTAAATTTTAAAATTTGTTTAAAATTAATCAAAAAATTAGCAATTATAAGAAATAAAGAATGTATTTAAGCTAAACAATTTTATTGAAGAAGGTAATTACTTAAATAAGATGATAACTGTTGGAGAAATGTTTTAAATAGGTATAAGCTTATCCAAAGATTAACATTATATGCGATTGATTAAAAGACTTACCCCCATTCCACAGTATAAGATTCGTAGTCCCAGTATTCTCTGGGTTTGTGAGAATTTACATCAGCATAAACTCGTGCCCGACTTGGCAACGCCATTTGATTAATGAACCTGACAGTAGTTTGATTGTTAGCAACAGTCCGAAACCTTGTTCCGGTCGCACTTAACACACAGCCGGTGTCTGATAGTAACCGAGAAAACCAAAACACAGTAAATTTTAGAGCATACCTTTAAATATTATATATCATTCTTATGACAAGTGCCTAGCACAACAACAGTGATGGATCCGTTCATCTATACTCTCTAGTACTTACAATACACAAACTTACGGTACAGATACAAATGAAGATTTTCTAGGTTATAGGTGATTATGAATGAGTTATTTTTGTTATAATATAGAGTAAAGTTTTTTATTTTAATAAAAATAGTTAAAATTTAGATGGTATATAAAATTTACCTAGGAAAAGCAAATCGCACGACGAAAGGTCTCGGAAAATCCGGCTAAAATAAAAACGGCGCACCAACAAAGTACACTGAACGAAAAGCATGTAAGTCCATAAAGTGTGCGAATACGTGTACTTGGCAGTCGGCACGGCTCGACGGAGACGGATCAAAAAGCCGACGATATGATAAGTATCAGCAACATTAGGGCGACGACGACGTTCATTAATAATTGTATTTCATTATTTTCATTATCAAACGTGCGGGGGCCTCAATACGGTAGACGGCGGCAGATCGAAAGCCGCCTCGTTTACAGTTTGGCCGTCAAGGGAAACGCGCAATGACGTACCTACCGACGAACCGCCGACGTCGATGCTGAATGCCAATGTTGCCGCCGACGATAGATACCCTCAACACGAGACGTTTACGGCGGCGGGACGTGGACTGTACGTACGCACGTTTTCGTGCGGCAAGGAAAAATGTTTTTCCACCAAAAATCCAAAAAACAAACAAATACCCCCCAACGTACCTGCTATAACATTTTCCGACGACGGGCCGTGTGCTCAGCTAAACGCCGCTAGCATGTTCCGCATACGGCGACGGTGGCCCAAAAGTAATCGCTGTCCGGACGATAGTGGCGAACCGGGGCGGCGGCGGCGGTGCGATGCGATGGACGGAGCGCGAATGAGAGCGCACGCGCGTGTCGCGGTCGTACGAGACGTGAGAATCGTACGGCAAAAATGAAAAAAATATTCGTAACAACAACAATATCGTTATCGTTGTGGTCGCGAGATTTTCTGTACCGTCGGATTTCCCGTCTCCAGAGCGGATCGTCGAACAGTATCGGCAGCGGGAACCCGGGGGCGGTGTGTGTGCGTGACGACGCGCTGCCGTCGACAAATGGTCACACGAACGGAAATTTTTACAATTTTTTTTTTTTT